TAGCTTTGTAGTGGTTGATAAAGATTCTCCAAGACAGGGAGGCAGGTATAGAAAGTGTTTTAGCAGCAACATAAATTTGTAACAGTAATATATATATATAATTATATATATATAACTATACTCTGTGCAAATCTTAGGGTAGTACTTATATAACATCGAAGGTAGACAGATGGATCCAAAACTGGCCAAAGAACTAGTCAAAACCAGGACGGTTAAACAAAAGTATCTCACACTTAAATCAGATATTGCAGCAACGGAAAGGGAATTACAGCAACAGTTTAAGCCGATCTCAGAACCGCTGCAAAAACTCTTATCAAAAGTTGAAGCACCTAAACAAGAATTGCAGATCAAAGAAGAACAATCTACACCCCCATCAGTGACATCCACACCGAAGAAACGACAATCATTCAATAAACAATTATCAGAAAATGTATACCAACGATATTTACCACCTGTCAACTACAGCTTTCTCGAGGATACATATTCAAACCTTCCGGAGCCAAATCGCAGTCAAGATGTATCTACCGTTGAAGAATTTACTCCAAATGCTACGGTGTTGGAGGCAGAAAACCAGCAAATCAATGAAAGCGTGGCTCGAGTGGCGCAAGAATTCCACCAACTAATTGATACACCTGCATATTAAGAGTATCTTGAAGGTTTTCACCCAGTACCTCGAAAATATGTTGATAAGTCAATTCGTGGGAACGAGCCCGAGTTTGATCGTTATTATGGATTAACATATGATATTGTTTCTGACAAGTTTCAACTCGGTAAAAGTCCGGTTACGCTAGACGGAGCAAATATCGTGGTGGAAAATGTAACATATCCTGGCACACCTGGATTATATGAACTGCTTTTCAAAAAAGAACCAATTGGTTATAAGCAGAGTGATCTAGATCAGTATATGGATATTCTAAGTCGCACAAATGCATATCGCAGAAATTTTGAACCTAATACTCAAATACAGGGTAGTACGTCCTACAAATATCTAAATATAATTCGACCATACTTACATCAGCAGCAGGGCATACTCAGATCCGGCTCCTTTGAGAAACCTCCACCTCCTAAGAGTCAGTTACGATGAACACACTCATTCAAACATACAGGTCAAGGAATGCTCCACTTATCAAATAAACCAATCGACTACATCTATTTTGATGATCCAAATGAATTGGTTGCTCGTTTACGTCTGTTGTTAGCTTCACAGTATGCTGGTAATAATGGACATCGTAACGAGATTATGTCTATAATTGAGGAGTTACGTGAATAAAAAAATAAAATGAGTTTGTAACGTAAAATTACTTTATTTACATTGCTGCAGTTGTAGGATCAAGATGCCGATTGATAAATTTGGAAGACATATGCTCCGCTCAAAGAAGACGGACACTGCTGCAATCTTCAGTACTTTTCTAAGATCCAACCTATCCAGCGTATGTGTGGTACCCATTTATTCCTCCACATCCAGCGAGCAGTTTTACACATTTAACGACAATAGCAAGGACTATATCGTTCCAGTGACTGGGATAGTTGATAGTATAAAAGTTCCGCCAAAAGTAAGAGTGACAATTGGTTTACCGACAACACACCTCTCACGAAAGGTGATATTCTCCATTTCTTCACATCTAAAGAACCCAGACCAGAGCAGCTTATAGCAAATATTGTAATGCGCTGTCCATTGATACAACAATGATCGACTTTAGAAAGCAGGTTGTTGAAGATCTTCATAAGCCAGCTCCCCGAAATTATAGACGTCGGCGCGTTATTGTGAAGGGGGTTAACGATCTCTTGCAGGCAGATTTGGTAGAAATGCTTCCGTATCAGAAAGTGAACAAAGGATTCCGATATATTTTAATTGTCATCAACGTTTTTAGTAAATTTGTGTGGGCAGAACCAGTCAAACGAAAAACCGGAAAAGATGTTACAACTGCAATGAGGGCGATTCTGTCGCACATGCAGTCAATTCCAAAAAATTTACAAACAGACTTGGGTAAAAAATTCTACAATAGTGATTTAAGTTGTTGGAAGAGTACAAAATTAATCATTACAGCACGTACTCATCGACCAAAGCAAGTGTGGTTGAAAGGGTGAATCGGACTTTAAAGAATCGCATGTGGAAGCAGTTCAGCCTTCAGGGATCATACAAATGGCTAGATATCCTATCGTCAGTCGTTGACGGGTATAATAACACCAAACATAGTACAATTGGAATCAAACCCAAAGACGTAAACAAACGTACAGAAAAAAGATTATTGAATACGGTTTATACACATTTGAAAACGGTAGATCCAAAGGGTGTAAAATATCAAACTGGGGATCATGTCCGCATAAGCAAACATAGAACAGCATTTGCTAAAGGATACACTCCTAATTGGTCCAATGAAATTTTTACAATTCGTAAAGTACAGTATACCAATCCTACATCATACTTATTGGCAGATTGGCGTGGTGACGAGATACTAGGTGGATTTTATGCTGAAGAGCTTCAAAAAGTCAAGTATCCAAACATCGATCTTGTGGAGAAAGTGGTTCGACGTAAAGGCAGTAAAGTGCTAGTCAAGTACTTAGGACTGGATAGCAGCTATAATTCGTGGATTAACAAAAGTGATTTACTTGTATGATAAATGTACCTCTATTTTGTCTAATGATTTCTATAGCACACTTTTTTTCAATAAAACACTCTACGTAATATAAGATTTTTATTACAAATATACTGAGAATAGTTAGGATAAGTAATTTGAATAAAAGTTCAGTGTTGGAGCCTTGTTGAATTCTTTCAAGTTTGGATATTGGTATGCCAGCTCCATAGCAGTCCTGATGTTCTCCGAATGCGGCAAATCAGAGATGTGTTGCATAATGAAGTCTCGCACATCGATGTGCTTGGTTTGTACATCCTGGAACTCCTGAGTTTTCAACATATTCATCGTATAGGCAATCAGCGGGGCTAATTGAAATAACTTCAATACGGTCTCTTTACCCAAATAAACTACATTACTCCACCGATCTGCAATTTTGATGGTTTGATAATCTGGAAATCTATCAAAGCTGATACAGAAGGAGTTACCTTGGATCGGATGGAAAATATCATCATGAAGAAAAAATTGGTTATAATGCCTTCTTGACTCGATACTTCATACCAGTCTTCTTCATTTAACGTAACGCCCTCGGTTTTTAAACCCTTGATATTGAGTACAGGTTGGAAGCTCCACTGATATGCTCGCCCAATAGTAATCCATTTTGATTTAGATGGATTTAGATGATAGCGTTGCTCCTGGATGACAATTAACGGTGGCTGAGCTACACCACTTTGTACAGATCATACCCCTTTGTCGTTCTGCACATTTGCAACGTGTTTGACACCACCGGCACTACTCATGTTGTAACACTATGTGAAATGTAGAAGACTGGTATGTGATGCTGAGTAGCTACTTTTATACAGTGTCGATACTCCCTCCACTCACAAACACTCCCCTCTCAAAAATTGGCGCAGGTGCAATGGAAAATGATACTACCATTCATGGAGATACATTTATTTATGATATATTTCTGTCAACACAGCAAGAATTATTGCGTTTTGGATAAACCGCATAAGACACTCAAACATGCAACATAATCTTCAAATTTGGTTATGGCCATTTCACACCACATGGTCCAGAACTCCATCCTAGTGACTTATCTCCAATGTTACCTTTAGCTACGTTTTTCTTTAACCATTTAAATACAGTATAATGTCTTATCTTATTTTCTATATCAAATACAAATTTAATATCATGCTGCTGTATCACATCGATTAGACTCTTCAGTGATGCACAATCAGCCAGATATGCAATTTTACATATGGTTTCATCGATATGGGATACAGTGTTTTATATCTCTTAGTAATATTTTCTACAGGATGTGGTTTATCTACATCTTCATAGTTACTGTCAGATAACAACTTACAGAAATAGTATTGTTCATATGCTGATGGTGTGGAGTGCATGTTCGTCAGCAGGTCTCCAAATTTTTGATGCTTAAAACCTCACACCTGTATCCTTTAGACTTTGCAGCGTTTCCTGTACCACCCAGTCAAGATGTTTCTTTCTTGTTATTACACTGGAAAGCACATCGGGGTAAACTATCTGCATTTGCAATCCAGTTGAATACTTCGTCGGGTACTGTAATTTCCCAGTACAAAACTCAGCACTGGAAATTCTCGTTTTTCTGGATTTTGAGACACAAACTGTCGGAGCTGTTTTTTTCAACACCTCTTCAGTTACATGACATAATTGCATGAACAGTGAATAGTATGTCTTGGTACTCATCTTTAAAACTGAAGAAGGTGAGTGGGTAAAGCATATATTTATATTCTTGTCCCCACCACAAAGCTCAAATTTCTGATCATTTCATCTGATCACTAGTCAACTCACTGGCTTCGTTCATTAAGCGCAGCAAGAGTTCCAACCGCTCTCGTCCGACATTTATGAAAGGTGATATCCTTGATGACCCCAAGCTAATGTCTTTGTTGAGTTTGGTATCAAGAAACGTTTATCATCCATACTGGTCAATGCCACTTTTCTTATATAATTTGTGTATATATTGTGCGACTCCGATTTAAATACATAAATCGTACAGTACACAGATGTCCGTTTCTCCTCAACAATATCTTTATAATGTAACAAATGTAATTGATGTTTCACACTCGCCTTAGATATACCTTTAGCTCGTTTAGCCACTTGATCTACAGCATCGATACAGTATGCTTTGGGACCTGTACCATAAAAGGCAGACAGTACCTTGCCACCATATTCGTCTTTCATCTTACCCAACTCTGACGCTGTTCGAGGCATGTTATGTGGGTTGTCAGCATCATAATTGGATGTGTCAAAGTAATGCATGTGTGATTTCATGTCTTCATAGAAATTATCGGTTTCAACATGTACTATTAACGAATCAGTGTCCGTGTATGCTAAACACCTTATTACTATATTGGTGCTTCAGAAAGTTATAGAAAAAGTCATATATTACCGTTTTTGAGACATCTAAAATACAAAATCCAACATATGTGGGACGGCAATAATCAATCATTGTTTTTTCCATTTGAATAGCTACTAAGTTTTCAGAAAATATTCTGTGTTCTTTAAAAGTTGGTTTACTAATATAATTTTCAGCACCTATTTTGTGTTTCGATTTTTCAAATTGAGTCGCTAATTTGATATTGACTCTGTTCTCCATGTTTTCAATCGTTTTGCCAAAATACAATTGATCATTAGTTTGAACAAATCTCTTTCAAACGGATTCAGTGCTGCATTTCTAAGTGCCGTGTTTAACAGTATATAGGACTTTAACCACGCTGCTTGTGTGAATTTGATACCTCTATGAATTTTCGTCAAGATAATACCATGTTTCAAACATTGTTTTAGATTACGATAATGGATAATGTAGCGCTCTTTGTTGTGTAAATTTGGAATTAATTTTGAGCTTTGACTGTTGGGTGGTTTAAAATTTTCTGGACAAAATGGTAAATCATTGAAATAATCATGAAGCTCATTCGGTATTGTTAAATCAACTTCTAATGCATATCCAATATCCGATGTATCTGAAATTTGTGTAATTGTTTCTTGAATCCTATCCATCTCATGTTGCGTAACCAAGCAAAATGACCCGTCGGTAGGTACAGCTGCATAGTATATCCATATAAGTTCGGCATCAAGGTACATTAAGTACGATGATGCCTTTGATGGATCGTAATGAGGTAAACATTTATTGTTCGCCTCGACTTTCCGTGAGGTACATGTGCTGACTCCTCCACGAATCCCCTTTTAAAAAAAGTACCATATCCACATCTGTAAGCAGCTCTAACTCTACTTTAGTATATCGTAGCATTGCATCCCAACTCAAACCAGGAGCTGTAAAATAGTGAGCTGGATCCAGCTTGTACGTTTTTAAACACAAATCTCTAAAATTTTCAAAGATATCTGTTAAAAGAAGAACATCCGAAGTCAAGTAAAGTCCGAGTATTCCCCCAAATTTTTACACCCCATTACTTCCCAAACATGATGTGCCCGCTCATAATCCTCGTCTGCAATGTGTTCATCACGTATTTCGTCATAAAAGTCTTGTTGGGGATGGTAAACATGTTTTATTGTATTTATCAAATGTTTTAAGATATGTATAGGGAAATATACCTTTACATCTCATGTAGGAGAATCTTTCGTCCTCGGGAAACACTTTTCGTACTGTCCGACATTGCTCTGCACTTAAAAAGGATGCCAATGTTTCTAATTTTGACGACAGAAACTGATATGAATCGACAAATCTCATTTGCAAAAATACGGTTTTTTGTTTTCCCTCTTGGGAAATGTACGTGTCTACCGGTACTAATTTTGTAAATGACACATATCTTTCAAAAGATTGTGGAATCACTTTAATTTGTTCTTGATTCATAGCTAAGTGTTTTATGAATAGATGAGCATCATAGTTCTTCAGATTGTGGAAAAATATTGGAATATAGTTCGGAGTCTTATAATTGAGATTGCATTTACTATGCGCCGCACCACGATATTTCCCTGTGAAATGACAGCGATCCCTAACTTTTATATTTGTATTGGTGAATGGTTGTTCACAAATGAAACATGACTCTGCTTTATTAAACGAAGCTTTATCGTACGTAGTCATTTTCATTTCTACATTTTGTGTTAAATATTGATAATATATTAATTTAAGATCAGCCTCTAATCGAGCAACAAAAATTTTTGCTGCATCCTCACCCCTATATAGTGGCCAATTTGGATAGTGAATCATTAAATGAGCATTTGATGTAATAAGCAAATGAGGATGGTTTATGTTCATACTTTCTGATGGTACTTACATCCTCTGAATCGCTTGAGTCATTTTCTATCGGAGCTAGAATGCATTCAAAGTCGGTATAAACGCAAAATGGTAGCCTTAATTGTTTGTGATGCTGTTCACATTTTAGTAATTATCCATTACCGTGTTTCCAAGTCGATCAACTCTCGTTTCCAATTTTGGAACTTAACTGAAATATATTTGCAATAGGTTCGCATGTGAATTTCTAATTTTTCTTTTGAGGCAAAGTATTGTAAAACCCATCACAAAAGTGCTTTACTCTCGTATTCCGCGACAACTGACTTGAAACAGTCTTGAAAAGTTGGTAATTAAGCAGTAATGATGGTTTCCTTCTGAATCATCAATAAGTAATAAGTTTAGATGAGTATGTTGTTTTTGCGCGGTGTAGTGTAACGGTCCCAGCACCTGATATTTAGGCTTCCCATCAATGAATTCCTTTTCTAATCCATAAACGTTGCTTGATATGTTATTCACGCTTTCACATTCTGATATTGACTTGAGAGCGACTGGAAATGTCATTCCAGCAAAGTTTAAGCCCGGAACATTCGAAAAATGTAGATATGACGTTGTTAGTGATGATCGACCTTTTGGTTTTACCATACCAGCTACAATTGACCATGCAAAGCAGTACTCATCGTTATTACGTATATTGAGTACTGCTTTTTTGTTCCTAATTTCCTTTGGAAGCGGCAAATATGATGCTGCTCTCAAAGGATTATATTTATTAATATTAATTTCTAAATATAAAGTCTTTTCTAACACCCACCCTGAGTCTTTTTCTGCAAAATCTTCAGATTTTTGCTCTATTTTACTTTCCAAATCATGATAGATTGCTTTTAAATTTGATGATTGTGTTATGATTACATTGTTTGTATTGTGGGACTTCACCTCTCGTCGGCTTTTAGCTGGTAAGATATATAAACCAAAAAGTTCCATATTTATTTTGAGCGTTGTTTGCTTATGCAATTCATTTTCAATCACGTTTATGGAGTCATGTTCAAGATTATTCATATATTCAGTAACGTTCAACGTGTCTATACTGGCGGTTATTTGATAACTGACTATTCTACCCCAATGCACACTTCGACATACTGACACATTATTGTGTAAAGGTGTCCATAGATGTGCCTTATGTTTGATGCTTTTCAGATGTGCTGCATGTGCATTCCTCGGTACCTCACAGTTGCAACTATCACAGCGAATTGTTCTGCTTTCCGCACTCGTCTGTGAGTCGTTACTGGTGGTTGGACTCATTCGACTCGGTCCCGGTATTGCAACGTTGGCTGTTGAAGGATCCAGTCGTCTGGTATTGAGTCCTGTGGTGGTCTGGGTGATGCTAGCTGTAATAATAAGTTCATAAATATAAGTTATTTAATTTGGCTTAGTTGTTTGTAACTTTACCTTCTACACGTTGTTGTTCGGGTGGACTCTTCTCGCTTGTGCAGACCTCTCTACCATGTCGCAGTAAACCTTTTCGTGCCGAGAATTTTTGCCGGCATCGAGGACATTCCCACTTGTCTGCAGTGCTGCGTGGAGCGGTTGCATTACATGGACGCTTGGATGCGGGCTCCTCATCCTGGCTGCACCTCGCTCTACAGTGTCTCAACAAACTTTTCCTCACCGCGAAGGTCCTTTGGCATTTTGGACATTGGAACATTTTGTTGTGAGGCGTGCACGTATCTACTGTGTTTCTCACACATAAATCATTTATATAATAATATATATTTATGCACCTCGCGTTCTCTAGTGGCATCTGACACAAAAAAACATTAGCTGCTGTACATTGATTTGACCTATTTGCAGGTTTCGTTTTTTTTGTCCCATTTCTACATATCAAGTTCGCCAACTCTTCGATCCACGTGTCGCGATTGAGTTGTTGATTCACAACACTACGTTCTGTCGCGTCCCGTTCAAGTTGCGTGAACGGCAACTCTTCGATGTAGGTGTCACGATTGAGTTGCTCATTCACCACACAACGTTCTGTCGCGCGTCCCGTTCAAGTTGCGTGAACGGCAAGTCTTCGATGTAGGTGTCGCAATATCACTCGCAATCGCGGCAGACACAGATGGCTCTTGCTGTTTGAGGTAGCTCCCGACATGGATGGCCTTGGCTGAGCTTCCAACAAATTGATCTCAAACGATGGCCAAGCATTCATCGTTGTAGACATATCAATGTCCGGATTGATGGATGCTAACACTGCCTCAATATCGATCTCATTTGAGGAGTTCTGTTGACTTTGGGCGATGTAATTGTTAAGCATGGTTTGCGAGCCCATGCTAACAATTTCGATGGATAACTCATCATTCCCCGAAGTACTAGCCATCGTTTGCGGGTGCCCGTTCAGCGAAGAGTCAACGGTTTCGCGTGGTGGCACAACTTGAACACACACACAATATATCACAATCCATCCCCAACCATCATGTCAAATAAAAACTGTAATATCAGGTTTTTTTTCTTTGTATACTGGAAGTCCTTAGCTTTAAGAGATCACCATAAAGGATTTCATGCTCATAATCCATATTCATCCTTCTGACATCACCTATACCTTTCCTTGCGTACATACTTCCTTTCAATATTTCTACCTTTTATTCATATTTTTTATTTTTAGGAGTAATTTCCTTCCGTATCTTTGTCCCTGATGATTTTATGCTTTTGTTTTCCTATTGCTAACGTCTTCCTATTACCCATATCTTCTATTTCTATATTCCGTTTAGCGACATGCATTATTTTATTTTAGGGGTAATTCACCCCTATTTATTTGTCCTGTGAGTATTACATCATTTTGTTATTAGAGGTAAAGTTATCGGTTTTGCGGATGATACAGCTATTCTCTATGAAAGCAACCAGTGGCATACACTAAAAACCACAATCGAACATGATTTCAAAACATTTATAAATTTCTTTTCGGAAAGAACTTTGACAATTAATTACAACAAAACACACTATATAGCATTTTCTTGTAACGACAGGCTCTCACCGCGATTTAAAAAACTTGAAATTCATACAAGCAGTGGTCTCAAAGAGATTCAGTCAGCCGATAAAATAAAATACTTAGGCGTGATTTTGGACAAACACTTAAAATGGGATACCCATACAGAGTACCTTGTGAAGAGACTGAGATGTATTATTCCAAAATTCAGGTACTTCAGAGATATTCTAGATAAGAAATATCTATATAATCTATATTATGCTCTTGTTTATCCTCTATTACTTTACACCACCCACATAGTTCCATAGAGCGGTTCCATCTACCACGAAGTGAGGGTGGCAGAGGAATACCTTGCATACCTACACTACATTACCGCCAAGTGGACAATCTAGGCCAGTACTTCCTCCAAAAAGCCACATCGAGCAGAATGCATCAAGCAATAACACAGACGGATAAAAAGTTGTCACCACTAAACCTTTCAGAAACATCTTTCAACCCTGAGGCAAAGATAATCCCAATGCAGGATCTGGTTCGCCAATGGACAGCCAAACCACTAAATGGTCGGTATAGGAGCCGCATAGAATACAACGCCATTGACACGAAGGCTTCCCAAGGATGGTTGCAGTCAGGTAATCTGTTCCTGGAGACGGAGGGCTTCATAGCCTCCATCCAGGATCAGGTAGTCCCAACAAAGTTATACCGAAAGCGTATAATGCATGAGAACGTTGAAGATATCAGATGCCGCATATGTGGGAAAAAAGATGAGCACATAGATCATATTGTAGCAGTCTGCTCTCCCTTAGCTCGTAAACAATATCTTGAAAGACGCAATGATGTGGCTAAAATACTTTATCAAGCTTTGGCTAAAAAGCATCTAGGAGAAACTGGTACACAGCCCTACTATAAATACACGCCCGCCACCTGTGATAGAAACGGAGACCTCTAGGCTGTACTGGAACCGTAAAATCATAACTGACAGGCCCATCCCCAACAATATTCCTGACATAGTGCTCACACTAAAAGAAGAAAGAACGACGTTTATAATAGACATAGCTGTGCCTCTTCCTAGTAATATCCAAACCACCCATGCGGAAAAGATCAAAAAGTATTTACCACTCTCCGACGAAATAAAACGCATGTGGGAAATGGGCAATGTGTCTGTAATACCAGTTATCATAGGAGCTACTGGAGAGATACCAAGGAAACTACACAAGAGTCTGGAAAAGCTACAGCTCCATCCAAAAATAACTTGCAGTTGCAAAAAGCTGCACTGCTGGGAACATGTAGGACAGTACGTAGGGTTTTAGGAGATGAGAACCGGATACGGTGAAAAAACCGCTGCAGATCTATTTTCTTACTTTGGCGGTTAGCCTGAGGGAAATATTAATACCTTCGACAGAGGAGTAAAATAGTATAAAATAATAATAATTATAATAATAACTATAATGATAATAATAATAATATAATATAATAATAATAGTACATAATATAATAATAATAATAATATAATAATAATAATAATATAATAATAATAAAATAATAAAATAATCATATAATAATAATAATAATTATTATTATAATAATAATAAAAAATTATTATATTATTATTATTAATAATAACAATAATTATATAATAATAATATAATAATAATAATAATAATACAATAATAATAATAATAATAAATAATAAATAATAATAATATAATAAAATAATAATAATTATTATTATTATTATAATGGTAATTTAATAATACTAATAATAAAAAATAATAACAATAATAAAATAATATTAATAATATAATAATAGTATTAATAATAAAAATAATAATAATAATATAATAATATAATATAATAATAAATATAATAATAATAATATATTATATAATATTAATAATAATAAAATAATAATAATAAGGGTCTGGCCGGTAAGGGGACTGCCGCCAAGTTTCAAACCCGCTACCGTAACGACGTAGACGGTACAGCCAGCAGCGCAACGTCTGGCCTTAACCCAACAGTTAAGCTACTGATATTAACACCGAAGATAGTCAGTACGGCCAGCACACCTTCCATTTATCCAGGCGTGGTTTTTGTCCCTTCCGCGCCTGAGTTTTAACATTTTTAGGTAAACAATTACACCTACTTATAAAAAGAGAACAAAATCACCCAGAAATGGAGAAGGAACAAAATGAAGCCTCGGAATGTAACGACGTAATCGGGACTCGTCGCTATGCGACGAGGTCCGCGTCCGGCAGGGAGCGTAGGGGAAGGTCGCACCCGGTCGTCATCCAGCGAAATCCCCCCAACATCACCACATATACAAATACTTCACTGAATGACCTAACACAACACCACCAAGCGGTCAATGCTGGTAATAATGTTGCTGTGGACGCATCGCCCCAGCCCATGTTACCAGCCCATAGTAGACGGCAGAGAACCACTTGGACGACAGAAATGAATGAGTACGTGGTTCGCTGCTACTATAGAATTACCAAATTGCAAACTTCACAGGAACCTTATGGTGCTGAATTGCATAAATTAGTGACAGAAAAATTTCCCCAGTTAAGACAAAAGACACTGCAGAACATCCTAGACCAGCGCAGATCTATATTTGTGAACAGCAGATTGCCAGCGGAGAGAATAGATACAATTAGGCATGAAGTAGCAACCGAATTGGG